GAGATTTCCTGCAGGTTGAAACCTGTCTGTAAGGACCGGTATACACATGTTTGGCCGACCCTTAGGAAATCCCGAGTTTATGACCTGGTCGGTTATTAAGACGAAAGAAACAAAATTCTATGACTATTGTATGCTATCTAAGTTGACTAAAATAAATGTTTGCTGTCGCGATGGTATACATGTCGATTGTAGTAAATAAAACTCAAAAGTATTAAATAAGAATAAATGCGAAACTTAACTGTCTATCCCGTCCATGTCATAAACGAAACTTCGAGAATCTCTACTTACGGTGTTCCGTATAGGACGGAACAAGGTTACAGGGTAATACGATCATTTTCTTGCTTTTCAGATGTTACAAATATTATATATAGACGCGTCGAAGTTAGCTATTTCCAATTTGTACTGAAACTGCTTTCACAAATAAATGTTCATTTTTACAACTGTTAAATATTCTAACTTCATTTTCTTTCATTTTAATCACGAAAGATAGTTATTTTTAGTTACTTTTTTCTTATTCGTGGCTATTTATTCAAAGTATGTTATTATAAATTCCAGATAGTATTTTGAGTGACCAAATTTGCACGGTCCGATCCACAGAAAAAGTGAAAACTTACTTCTTCAACGTTGCAGTCAAATCCGCCATGCAACGACTCGATGTTGATATTCAAATCGTCAAGGATCGTAGAATTATTCAGCGCACCCAAATACTGTCCTATCATTGTGCTCGGTGTGGGTCCGCAAGTTGTTGGTGTTTGAGGTGGGCTTGCTCCCGTCGGTCCAGTTTGCGGTTGTTGTTGTTGCTGCTGCTGTTGTTGCTGTTGCTGTTGTTGCTGGCACTGTTGCGTTTGCATCATGAACTGTAGAGTCTGCTGTTGACTACTGCCCAGAGCTGTGGGACTTGGCTCGCTTTGCTGATAGGACGGCGACATACCAGCCACTGGACTTAGATTCTGACATTTTGTTTTCAAGCAGAAAAAGAGTATAAATTCAAGCAGACAAAAAAATCAACGAAGCATAACAAGCTCTTAAAAATGTTCACCATTTCAGAGAATTAGTTGAACAACGCAGAAGTTTCAAGTTGTTACGTATCTAAGCTGCAAACTTGAATTATTTTAGAGGACTGTTTAAGTTGTTAATAACTTAGAAGTTACAGAGTGTTAAGCATGAACATAATTGTTCCATTGGATACAAATTGAAAAGAAATTCTTGTATAAAGCATCTTGTTTGTAAAGATGTTAGGTGTGTCCATGAGCAGAATACGATTTTATTTTTTTTAAGACATATGTCCTCTAAATACTCGTGTATTATATTGGTAGTTACATCGGTAATTTTCTCACTCACCATTTGACAAGCGCACGGCTGCAGACCGTGGATCGGGCATCTCTGCTGACTCGCGGGCTGAGGTGTCGATTGCAGAGCGAACGAAGAGGATCCCGAGGAAATGCTGTTGCTCCTCTGATACTGGGTCTCGTAATAAGATGGCGGCGGACCGGTCTGCTGTTGATGGCTCGGTGGCGACGTCTGATACATTTGATAGGATTCCAGTTTCATCGTCTCCGCGAAGCTACCGGCTGCGTTCGCATTCGTCAGGGAAAAGAAAAAAATCAAATAAATGTTCATTTTCTTCGCGACCCTTTTGGATATAAAAATTTCTTGCTTTGCGTTATTCTTTGGGCTATCTGGAACGTTCTTGTTGATTTTATACAGTCATAGTGCATAAGAATTCGGCAAATAATATTCCACTTTTCACTGCTCGAATACTTTACTCGGATATGAATGAACAGTTTCATAATATTAAATTCAATAATGTTAATAACAATTGCATGTCGGTTATTCTATCTCGTAATTATTATATGATTATGTATCCCTTGCAGTTTGAATATAAATCAATAAAAGTCTCGCAAGAATGAAAGAAATCATAATAAGTACCTATATTTCATTTTTAATTTCAATGAATATTTTCAAACAAAATAGAAATTTTGCGTTACCTCTCGTTTTTGTAAACCGAATAGCAAAATTGAGGTGTTTCGTTCATGTACATTGTACATTGTACATTGTACATTGTACAGTTATAAATATTGGATTACATAAATGTTTACTGTATTTAAAAGTATTTATTGAATCAATTTTACTAATTTTCTCCACCTTAGGTAATTATGTTATTATAAATTATAAATGAAACAGTTCACTATATTCTTTTTACACATCCATAAACACGCAAGGTATTTACATAATCTATCCGATGTAAGTATGTATACATTTAATAATGCATTATAAGAACATCAATTTTTATAAGATCATTTACCTATATTGTATTTATCATAAATACATATGGCACATACTCTTTTCTAGCTACTAAAATTTAAAACTAATATTTTAATTTAATAGATATTAAACAAAATAATTTTAAATGATGAAAAACAACGTGTCAAGTATTTTTATGAGAATTATATCATAGGAGTTCTATTGAAATCAGCAATTCTTATTTACATATGTTCTTTTGTCAAATGTAATCATAAACTTCCCACATAACAATTAAATGGAATAACTGTTACGTAATTTTTATTTATTTACCTTTTGCACCAGTTTTATTCAATTTTATTAAAAAATTTGTAAGTTTTGCGTAACTTATTTAAATACATGAAACAGTTTTATATACACAGTTTATGAATTATTCTACATTCAATTTTTTGTTATCTATAGTTTGTAAGGCTACGTTAAATTTTGTTTTGTGTTCAAACTTTTTAACCCCTTGTCCTACAACAATGAGTGAGACTCGCGATGAAGATTTTCAACATGATTCAACAAATATATACATTACTCAGTTCATTCGAACTCAAAATAAATATTATTCCTCTGTAATCAACTATTATACTTAAAACGAAATATAGGCATAACATATGCTTAGAATTTTTCTCTTTTTCCAATAAATTATTAATGACAAAGTGGTCGTATTGGTTGGAGTTGAGAAAGAAATCATAGTCCAAGGGGTTAAATCACATACAATGTTACTGTTGTAGTATAGTATAAAGGAATAAATGATGATCAAAATAATGAACCTATATCTATGCGAAGAATAAAATAATTAATATTAATGCGTACCTAATTGTTCTGGGCTATAAGAAGAAGTGTATGCTGGTGTCCATTCTTGTTTTCCAGGGATTGCAGGGATTGGACTTAACCGACCGCAAGATGAGGCGTTGCTTGAAGCTCGAGGACTTAAATGAAAGGTCATTTAAATATAATTCAAACATGAATATAAAAAATAACTAAAATATAAGTATAAATATACAAAATTCATCGATTTTGTCGCACATTCATTTCTGGATTTAATTAATACTTGTTTTTTATTTTGTTGAACTTTGAACAGAATGTGGAAGATATTGAAGAATTTACAAATATTGCACTGTAAGTTATTTAAATAAATATATGTTAAGACCTCAAAAATTAAATTTACGTGACGTAAATTTACGCAGATGCAACAAATATGAACATATGTCCTGAACAAGTCCAAACGTGTAAGTAAATACAAAATGTGTGAGAATAATGTATAAGTCAAAATTTTGTCTAGTTCATATCGATAGATATTGTTTGCGAACATTAAATAAGGCCAAAACGTATTAAATATACAGGACATTTATTCATACGATGCTTTCTTACCTATATTACTGTGTCAATTTATTGTTTGAAATATTGAGATATATTTATGAATCAACCTGTACATGCTATATCAAAGCACCCTATAACGAATTAATCTGTCCTAATATAAATGATATATAACATTGTGGGAGAAATTTGAACCTATTTTGCTTTTTACAATAACTACTAGGTGATTCTTATAGAGTTCCTTACCCTAAATACGAATCCGAAAACCAAATTGCTGGGTCACGTCGAGTTTTCGAAAAAACTGGGTTTTTGTAAAAACGATCGAATTTTTCAGAAAACCAAGTGTTACGTGAAAACCAAAAACGATAGGCAGTTAAAATTTGTCGCAGAAAATAAGGGAGACTTGCCCGAACATGTAGCTATAAAAACATCAAATTATTTAAAACGGAACGATCGTGAAAAGCTTTGTCACAACTATTATGAAAATTTATAAAACAATTAAACATTATATATACATATAAGAAGTGACCGGGATCCAGGTCTATACAGCGCGTAGTCACGGCCCTTGCATAGTTGTGGCCAGCAAGCGATGGCCGTGTGACGCGAAAGTTCCGTGCACGCGCTCTTCGCGGACATTTTCTTACCCTGTCCCAAAGAAAAACCGATCTCACGTTTCCCTCGGGGGGTTCCTCTTCAGAAATGTCTGCAGAATCCAATGGCGCATAGCAAACTCGTGCTAACCAACCCAATTTTCATTTTTCATAGAAATGTAATAGAAGTGCATACAAAGTACGCGCATCTAACCTTTTTTAAACTTTGATCATCATTTACAAACATTTAATGATAAGCAAAATTCAACATTTTTATAGCCACGTGTTCGGGGAAGTCTCCTTTATTTTTTGCGGCAAATTTTAACTGCTTACCGTTTTTAGTTTTTATGTAACATTTGGTTTTTTGAAAAATTCGACCGTTTCTACAAAAACCCAGTTTTTTCGAAAACTCGACGTGACCCAGCAATTTGGTTTTCGGATTCGTATTTAGGGTAAGGAACTCTATAAGAATCACATAGTGGTTATTGTAAAAAGCAAAATAGGTTCAAATTTGTTCCACAGTGTAATGTACATATCTACATATATTTAACACGTTGATCGCCACGGTGGTCATCGATGACCGAAGTTTCCAAATTGCTTGAAGACTGTAAGAAAACTGATGTCTATGTATCATAAGTAATTAGTAATTAATTATTGATTAGTTGGTATCGTAGTTCCCAAGCTACTCTATCATCTATGTATCATAAGTAATTAGATGATAGAGTAGCTTGAGAACTACGATACCAACTAATCAATAATTAATTCTAACACTATTTGTCTTTGCTATGAAAGAGTAATATCATACGAAACGAGAATAAAAGTAGAAGAAGAACGTAGAATAAAAGTTAAAGGAATTATCAATTGTTGCATTGCTCTGAGTTGGTTATAAACATTATGATTTTATGAGGCAAATTATTCGTTATAGTGTTCCTTCATTGTAAAGTCAGTCATTATGGGATACTCCACTTCGCAAACTATACAGTCTCAGCTTAGAACGTTAATTGTGTTTATCACAATTATGTTGGTAACGTATAAGGTTGTAGAACTACCGGAAATCAGGGGAGAGTTGAAAACCGCTTCCAGGTTGAAGAGGGCTGTCGGGGAAGAGATCGAGTCCCTCGTTCACGCTATTACTAGGACTGGGCGTCGCGTCGGCCTGCAAACCGCCGTTTCTTAGTACCTCGATCTTCTTCCTCACGCGGCCGCGTCGTTTCTCCAGTTTACTAGTTTCCATTGTGATAGCCCTGTGAAACACGACGAAACGCGTGGGACACTTTACACGCAACCAGCAGATACAGTGATGCTCGCTTAAATTCCACAAAATCTGCTCGGCTAAATTCCACTGAACCATCCCTACTCTTTCCTCACTTCACACTGTCTCGAGCTCAGTGTAACGTAATCCCAGTATACAGGGACAGAAAATTAACACAATGAGCAGAAATAGTATAGACGCAGACCGTCGAATCAAATATAAACATACAATGAAGAATATTTCAATTGTAATAATTTTAACCTTACTTTTTCTCATTTAGTTTTATCTATTTGGGGGAAATGAACCTTGAAATTCATTGATACTACATTTGTGAAGGTAAGGTTAAAATGACTGCAATTGAAACTTTCTTCAACCCTCGATTTTCGGCGACCTGTGTTTATCCCGCTTCCGCTCATTATATCGCCTTTATCAGGCTGTGCTGAAGTCAGTTTCTGAAAGCAAATAGCTTCCTCCTGCTTTTCTGCTCGGTTAAATTCCACTGCTAGGATCCAAATTTGTGGAATTTAAGTGAGCATTACTGTTGGTACAGTGCAGGTCTCACGTCTTGAGCAAGGTCCGACAAACTACTATACGCCTCTCACGTTAGCTCCACCGGCCTTAGGTTTAACCCCTTGCCATACTTTAACGAGTTTGACTCGTGATACAAATTTTGGACCAAACATAAGTATCACGAGTCTGACTTGAGGTGACAACTCGAGTGAGACATCGATCGCCATAATTATGGCCCGGATTTTTCCCGGTTAAATGGTATAGCAACGGGTTAAAAGTGCACAGGGACAAGGGGAATTGTTGCACAACTCGGCCAATAACAAGGACGTGTCAAAACTGAGGTGTGATTGTTGCCATAATTACCGGGCCGAGCGCCGTAAGTGGACGTCTCTTCTTGCCCCTGTGCACTTTTAGCTTGTCGGTCACGGCTAAAAACGTGAGAGACGAACTGTACTTAGGAAAAAAAATGAAACGTCGGATATTTTACCTTCGACGAGAAGACTTGCCGGGCTTAGCATCGCGATTGATCATCCACCAAGAACTCTTACCAGTACCCTCGTTCTGAACCCGCATGAATCTGCTATGCAACGACAGATTATGTCGTATAGAGTTCTGCAAACAGAAAAAGAATGTATTGGTTAGACTGTATTCCAAATATTTCTCATTTTGCTAAAGAGGAAACTATTTTTATTACGATTACTTTTCACATTTTAATTTGTTAAAAATGAATTTTTGAATTCAGAGCAATTCTTAGTTAGGCCTTCATCGTCCTTTGGAGTAGAGAGATTTTCAACTCAATTTTCAATACACTTTATGTCGCACAATTTTGCAGAGCAAAATACAAAAAATAAAAAAATATAATATGAAGTTATTTAATTGAATCGCGTTATTATTGTTGCACGTTTATTTTGCTGCATGTCACCACATTGCAGTCCTTGATAAAAAAAATTAGGGCCACCAGTGATGCCAGCTTTGAGAAGATCAGCAATGAACCAGCAATCTGATTCTTCTCTGGTTGTTTCCGCATATCAATTTTGTATAACTCAGACTTAATTTCTTTGCTTAACTTTTGGTCTTAACACTATGATGAAGAAATTATTATTAAATTACCTTTTGTGGACTTTCAGCGTTATGATTACCGCGAAAAATATTAAAAACTATGGTGGCAGTAATTTTTGTCAAGTATTGTAAGTAACATCGTTTATAATATAGAAATATTTTCAAATAATAAATATTTAACGTGTTAATTACTGATGGAAATAATGATCATAAACAATCCCGGTAATAACGTATTTAACTTTCTTATTCAGTAGTAATAGATGATAATTTTAAAATATGAAAAAAGGCTTACACGATAACAAGTATTTTAACAGAATTTTTAATGTAGCACACCTTTTTTGAAGGACATTAATAGTATTTACTATATTCCGTTACCTATGATCATATTATTTCATGTTAAAATGATTAACAATTAAAAATCTCACGATCAGTAACAAACAGTTTGTGTTCTCTTAATTCCAGTATTATTATATGTAGTGTCAGTTGCTGTGTTTAGTGAAGCCTGTGTGTCAATTGTGTCAATTGCACTGCATACTAAAAACAATATAGGGTAGATGCAGGTAAACTAAATCACTTTCTCTTTGACAGTATAGAAATAAAAATTCTAAACAACATTAATAATAAGAAGTGAAAAAAATTTTTTAAACCTTTCTTTTGCAGATAAGAAACGAAAAGTGAGAAGTAGCATTTTCGACATAACAAATGCGAACTGGATTCTTATTTGCGTGATGCAATCTTGTGACCCGATTCACTTCGGTCTGCCCCACGCGCAATATTCAATGATCGATGCTTTTGTTCGAGAAAATCACAGTGTGTGACACCCTCGAAACAACCAAACGTGTTTGTTTAGGTGAGTGACCAAGTCTCTGGACCTCTATAACAATTTTTCTGTTTTTAAAAAATTGTAAATGGAGCATCATATAATAAATTCGAAACGGATATTCAGCTTTCACGCTGTGCGTCATTCTTCACGTTCCTATCGCCATTTGGGAGCCGCTGTAGCTGAATCTTAAATGTTAATAATTTGGAAACCGAAGCACCATTTTGTCACTCTTGATCTTCGTATTAATTTAGCTCGAAAAATCCTTCCGAAGAAATAATCGAACACACTCGTGCAGTATAATGTCAGCAAATATTTGACACGATTAATTTTATATAACAAGTCCAATTATCTTCTATTACAAGACAATTAGCTTATAATATCTACATCGTGAAAAAGTATAATTATGGTTCGTAGGAAAATCATATAAAAATTTAATACCTTTCAATCTTTAACTTCTAACTGGCGACCAAGAGGAATGTAGCACGGAAGATGTAACACGTGTCTTCTAAAAAAGGTGTTATAAAGTCATATAAAATTTAGAACGCATAAAACAAGAAATATTCAGAACGACTAAATAAATAAACGTATACAGTGCACTAAAGTCGACGGTCGTGCGATGATAGTCCAATAAAGTCGGTGCTCAGCCATACGGATGCACTTAATGGCCTTCGACTGCTGACGCTCGTACCGAAGGGATTAAAATATTTTTCAAACAAATTGTTAGTTCAAACACTTCTTGCGTAGTTAAACTCGTTAAATTAAAGAAGAATATACTTTTTGTGCTTAACCGAAATAACTCTTTCCACGCTCCACGAAGGTGTTCCATTAAAATCACTGTTTCAGACTCGAATAATGTCTCCAGATAGAATAACTTCTCGTCCCAATACCGTTGAACCGTAACTCGTCGATAAAATCTCTTTCTGATAATTATTTTCTGAACGAAACATACACGTATATATTTCGTTCAATTTTTCAGTGGAACCTATCCGTTTCGTTCTCCTGCAACAATATAATTTCAATTTCACCGAAATTTACGACTCCTCTTCCCAAGTACATCTCCTCTCTTCACCGACTGTCTCGACGCTATCGATATTTCGATCCCAGCTTCTTTTACTGTCTTACATTCGCGAGTAACACGACCAACTGAAATCTACACGGGCGATTGCATTGTCAGGCTCGTTTCGTACCGTGTACAAAATCGATCCAAGGACTGAGTCACGAGAGATAGGTTTTATAATACTGTCCCTCGTAGACAGGGACATGTTCCTCCTGGCTTGTTCATTAGGCAAATTGAATCGGCTACGGTGCTCCGGTATTTCCTCCCAAAAATTTTCGGAAAAGCTTCTACCCTAATATGAAAGTAGCGTCGCGAAGCGATAACAATTTCCCTTCGTCTTCGTCTTCGTCTTCGTCTTCGTCTTCTATGCAGAGAAAAAGAGAGAGAGAGAGAGAGAGAGAGAGAGAGAGAAACCTAACGGGGGTAGCTTTTAAGCAAAGAGGGCACGATACCGCGACAAATAAAAATTACTTTTTCGAATTTCTATGGCAGATGGGAAAGAAACGGTACCAGCTTTTCTTTCTGCAGCGCAAAATTTGCTCATTCGTGTATTCGTTTAATACAGGATACACTCTCCGTTTTTCTATTTTCATAAGAATGGAAAAGAGGAAGAAAGTGTTCATGCATGATGAATTCCTGCTTTTTATATTTTTGTCCTTTTCTTGTACCTATCTTTTATACATCATGAAACAGAAGATACTTCCAGTTTTAAATGTATGATACAATCCGTAAGGTTGGAATTATCAGTAGATTCTGTAATTGTTCTATCGAAGTTTTCTATACAAAGTGCAAAACTATGTGTAGAGAGATTATAATACGAATTATACAGACTTCTATTTTAGTCATTTACAAGATTTATTATTGACTTATACAATTGTGGAGTTTGAATTGTTACTCATTTAGATTGTACAGAAATAACTGATCATTGTACAGAATTAAATAATTGTCAGTAAATAATACAGTAGAACATATCATAAAACTGACAATTAACGTTTAAGTTTAAAATGATCGAGGCAAACTAACTTATTTTATCAAGAGCCATATTAAATTCATTTACAGTTGAGTTAGCAAAAAATATACAGAGATAGAACGCATCTAACTGGAGAAGATTCTTTCAAGACATCGTCAAATCCTTTTTTTTACCATAATTAATACTAGTATAAGTATACATATATCATATTTTCATATTGTGGAAAGCTACAAAACAAAAAATGTCTATAAATTATATACTAAAACATAAATTACATGTTCTAATAGAGATAGTCAGTATCAAGTGGTGAAAATGTAGTTCTACGCGAAAAGATAGATGGAATACATAAAATAGAAATTTTTTGGTCAAGTGCTAGTCGTTCGATAAATTAGGTGTCCATATTTATTTATTATATTTGTATATTTTTAACTAACAGTATAATTATCAAGAAAGTATTTTACGCATGAAATTAAATAAATAACGTAGAATCAAATATTTTAATTCCAAGCCTTCACAAAATTTGAAAGAATACTATTGGCAGTTACTACTAATTACTAAATATTATTATAGTTATTTTAGTCAACAATACAGATTCCTTCAGCACATCTTAAAACGGAATTTTTTTTAATAAAGGTTCAAATGAGAAAATATTATTTATTGCATATTTTTTACTTCTGTTCTCATGTTTAATGATGATTATGATTGTGATATTTATTGAAACTTGTAACCGTGAACTGTGAATATCACATTTTAATTTGTAAATAAAATCCTATTTATTGCAATTTGAAACGAAACGTGTATGAAACACTACTACCTCAGTACCTGTGTTTCCAGCAAAAGCTATTTTCACAAACTGTTCTACAAACTGTCAAAGTTGATGTATAATATCTGACTGAGTAACCGGCAAAGCGTACAGAACATAGCTAATGCCGGCAGTACTTCGATCTCAAGATCATTTTTCACATTTCATGTCTCGAGAATGGCTTGTGTGAAACATACATACAAGTAGATTGCGATTTCTGAACATTTCCATAACATCTACAAGAATATGTGACGAAAAATATGAATTCTCAATAAAAAATTTCAGCCCAACCTTTACAATTCTGAAAATCATCACAAAATCAAATAAATCTGATCACACCAGTATGACCAGGTCCTTCTTCGCAGTCCATACCTTCAGTTGAAGGACTTTTCCGTATGTTCCATACTTTTCGAGACAATAATTCGAATGCTTTGATTATATCTCACATAAAATGAAAACTCTCCTCAAATTTTCATTTACTCGGACCGTGAATCGGCCAATTAATCGGATAATTGGGATTCTACTGCATTATGAAGCCAATATTTCGAATTTACGCGGATGCGAAAGAATAAATTCGTTTTGGCACTCGTTACTTTCACTGCATACTTTAGCCGAAAACTTGACCGATCGTTTCACAGAATACGTCGAGCCGCCGGTCGCCGTCGAAAAGCTGAAGTATTTATTGACGAGGCGTTGTCGCGAGTACCGACGAGGACACGATTTTACGATCGATTCGCATCGCCGATTCCTTTTACCTTTTGCGTGGTGATAGACCTCATAGGGTTCACGACGGCGATTCCAGCTATTCGAGTCGTTCAGTCGCTGACTGTACGGTAGAATTTTACAGCTCTATCATTTCTCCGCCCTTATCGACCGTACGCCTAGAAGATGAGGACATTTT